CGTTGATAGATTTTAATGAATTTTTAATCAATGAGTAATTCATCAATATTTTCTAGGGAAATATATGTGAACTCCTGTTCGATTACATTACAAGGTGTGAATGTAGGAGTTGATTACTTAAATTATGATATCCAAAACATAGGATTCATTTGCAACTGATTTTACCTACATCTTTGTAATTCATTCAAGATCAAAGTTTTTGTCTTGGATGGTTCGCTTCAGTTGGATGTAGTACCTAAATATAGGGAACAAGCACATTTATCAAGATGCTTCTTTTATTGTGAGTAGATGCAGTATGAATAGAATTTTTCATTGATAGTCTACTTGAAAGTGACAATTTTTTTGAGTTTCTTTAAATGAAAGTTTCATATACTTGTATCCTCATTATCATTAAGAATGCTGTTTTATGAAACGCAGTCCATTAATGTATAATCAAATGGTTTTAGATAAGTTAGCAAGTTACACTGTTTACATACGAAGTGTCGATATGGTTCTTCTTTGAACGAACGCTCATACTGATACTCACAATCATAGTTCAGATAATCTCTGTTCAACTTCATGAATCATCAATTTGAAACTCCACTTCATCAAGAGAACAATAAAAGACTATTTTCGTGATAAGTATTTGGTTCTTAATAGTTTGGAATTCGAATGAATGAATAAAAAACTTTTCAACTATTATTTACTTATTGCTAGAAAAATGTATTGTTAAAGATAGAAGGAAATAAGTGAAGCTTGATCTCTATATTTCAGTCACGTAATTATTTAGTGTGTCGGGAGAAAAAAAAAGTATATTCTGTTAGTTTTCTTGTGTGTCCAGTAGTAGACACGATTATAGTCCATCGTAATCTTGCTAAAAGAACAAATAATGTCATATTTTCATCCAAACGGTACTATAATAAATCTGGATAATCATAATTATTGTGCTGAGAAATAGGACTTCAAACTATAAACCAAAAATCGTTCGACTTTACATCTTCCTACTATTAGAGAGACTCTCTTTTGAACGATAGCACGTATTTACAATATTATTAGTAACCAACATTGAGTAATTAGGTTTTTTCAAAGCATTCATCCAAACATTTTCATAGAATGCTTTTTACCATCAATAATAAGATTAACAATTTTAAATAGTTTAATCGAGAAGCTACATCTAGTTAGAAGATACAACTGTATAATTTAGTCATTCTAGACTTGTCAATCATATGATATGTCTAATTATCTGCTTTATTTCGCAAGTTCAGAACTATGACATAAATTTAAAAACGGATGACGGTACTTTCATAAAATGTTTGACTATCATATCGATAGTATATTGGAATAAAAAACGATATTGATTCTTTATTTTCTGTAGAGCCTTTTGTCGGAATATTGCTAGTAGTGTGAACTTCACTCTTATTTAGCTGTAAGCCTTACAATTTTTCAACCGAACATAGATAAGAGGTTGATTTATTCGGAAAACATTATTCGACAGCTTTGCCAAATTAGCACAACCATTTTACTATCTCTTTCTAATTAGATGCTACAATGTTTTCTTCTTCATATCAACAACATTCAATAGAAATCAGTGATTTCTAGTGTTCTAAAAAATGTTTCTTAGATTGTCGATATTTATTCACTTCTTAGGAGCATAGCCTTCCATTTTTAACGGATTTTCTTGAGTTTCATTTCTGAAAAATTCAGTTTTACCAGATATTAGTAAACAGTTATCGTTATTGTGTACATGAATTTTTATATGGAATGGATTAAGTCTTACTTTCTCTAATCACCTTTCATTTATCGATGCTAAATAAAAATCTTTAGAGCGTAATAGAACGTTACAATCTGATTGTTGATGAATCCTTCTCTTTCATGATTTAGACAGAACATTCACTCACGTCAAAAGAAATTCAATATGATCTATATCATAACAAACTTATTGCTTTGTCAATGTTTGTTAAATATGAAAAATGTGACGAGAAACTTCATACTAAATGAATAATCATAAACCATGATCAGTAAATAATGACAGAAGCTTCCAAAAGGCATGAAGAGCCTGTGGATAGACGCTATTGTAAATCCGAACCAACAAGCAAAAAATTCACATCTTTCCTAAACTTGAGCATGAGTTTTGGTGTTGTTCTTCTTTATATGAGCACTCACGCTGATACCCTTAACTGTACCTGACATCCACTCACACCCCATACCCACACCCCTAGATTGAATACGCTTGAATAGTTGATTTAATTATTGTTATCAATTTGTGAAAGTTTCTTTACATATTTCTTATCACCAGAATATCAAGCATTGTTTTGTGGCGATTCTTATATTGCTGATTAGGGCTGGCCCGAAGGGGGGTTGTGTGGGTTGTGACAACCCCCCATCTTCAAAAAATATCGTTTTTTTTGCTCAACAAAATTTGAAAATTTTCTTCCATTTATCACCAAAAGTAATATCACATCCCAAAAATTTAACTTTCTACTTCAGAAAATTTCGCTACAACCCCCCAATGTTGATTGACTCGGGCCAGCCCTGTTGCTGATATATATTATCCAGCATGACACATAGAAAAAGTTAAATTTCATAGCCGTTTTATACGTGAAAACTATAGGCAATCACACGCGAATACCTTTACATCTTTCATATATCTCCAGGATAAGATCGAACAAAAATCAATTGGTACAAAAATTTTCATTTATTCATTGAACAACGCAAAATATTGTACGAAGTTAACATCAAGAAAAGGTCATGAAACCAACTGTTTCATATGTAAGATTATTGAACATTGATATTCGTTTCACGACCAATCTGAACAGTTACCAGCTGATTACAGATATATCAAAATGGACAATTTCAATTATCAGATGACAAACAGATCTGTTGGATGTATATAAACTCCCACATCCTCATATACACGGTTTTATAGAACAAGTCAAACTCTTTCGATTGACATAAGTCGATAGGAACAATGAATAAATTTCAAGAAAAAAATTCACAAGAAAAAGAAAAATTGAATTTCTGGCGCTTTTTACAGATATTGTTAAGGATGTTTCGGTCAATTTCTTCTAGCAGATTGGAGATAAATCTTTAGACGATATTATATTAGATTCACACACGATATGCCATACATCTGGCTTCCTCTCTCCACTCAAATTCAAAACCTATTGATTCACATCTTTTCTGACATCGGAACATCCTTAGTTTTCTTATGACATCTCTCTTAAAACAATAAACGTTAATATTCATCATATATGCATTTTATTTTGTATAATTCTATCTTCAAAATGACGAAATAGTTTTTAACGGTTAATTCTTTGGCCAGGCAATAATATGTATACGTGACTAATCAGTCAAATAAATCTTACTAAACAGTTGGATGAAGGCACATTTTTTCATTCAGAGGATGCACTACAGTCATTCTGAATCATATTAATGAGGAACAGACAGACAATAGATACAGATCAAATTTTGTTTCTACAATTTTTCTGTACAACCTACAAGACATCATACAGAGGTGAGCACAGGACAGCTTTTTCGGTCCTGTCCTGCCGCTCCACCATCCGTTGTCCTGTTGAGCGACGGGGCAGGACAAAAAACGACTTCCTATCCTGTCCTGTGCGTCAGGACAGGACAGGGCAGGACATGAAGCAGGACAAACACAATTAGTCATTTTTTTCCAACAACACACATAGTTTAGTAAAAAATGCATATGAAAGAAGTCGCGGAAGTTAGTATGAATTTCATTATCATTATTAGATTCACACAGTAGGTAATATCAATAATAGACAAAGTAATAAAACAATGAGTAGGTGCCTCAATAATGTAAGCGTTACAGGTAGAAAAAGTATTATACACAAACACTAAAAGACATACTCATTAAAAAATCTTTCATACTTTTACATTTATTGCACCAGTGAAATATGATCTAATTATTCTAAATTGATGTTAGTTCGTCTTTTTTCTATAAGTGATGTCGCTCCAGAAAATCGTCTTTCGACTCCTGACTAGAGCCATTCCGGACCAAACTTGTGAGACCCAGATTCACAAATGAACAGCAGTATTAATCCTTTCAAGAAAGTTCTTTATTAAATTAATCTGATTGTTGCTCCGCAAATACATGGTACTTTTTTCGGTGATTTTTGTTGTTGACTAGCATAACATACACATTTCTCAGGCAATATTGTCGATAATCTCACAATAATCAAGTTATAATTGGTTCTTTTTCTTAAATAGGTTCTGTTAAGTGTAAAATTTTCCAACTGAACCCCGAACTCGGTCAACACAAAAGTTTAGGATCCGACCCAAACAAAGAGAATTTTCAATTCCGAATCCAGACCAGACTTGACTATGTTCAAGATCGACCTGATGAGCTCTACTCCACCACTTTTATCGTCAAATGCTAAAGTTAGCACAACTTATCCTTTAAGTAGTACATTCACGGCTCATAGTACGCATCAAGTACAACCAATGGCAATTGCTACTATGCAAAAATTGTAGAAAAAATGACATAAAAAGAGCAGGACCAACGTATTTGTCCTGTCCTGCCGTTCCACTACCCTTGTCCTGTTGAGCGGCGAGACAGGACAAAAATTGCAGTTGTGTTCTGTCCTGCAGAACAGGACAGGAATACAGGATGGCCGCACCGTCCTGTCCTGTGCTCACTTCTGATACCATACTCTCAACTATGTTAGAAGTAGACAAACGGATGAATACAAAGCAATTCCCACTTCTAGAACTTATCCTTTCAGTCCAGACAACACAAATGTCTAACAGATTTTCAAAGTAAAAGCAAGGAGTTTTCTTTGGTTTGGTTGATATATCTTATAATAACACTTAATTAGATCGACAACTGTAATTCTATGTAAATTTTTTTTTTCTTGCTAAGTAACTTTTTTCTTACTCACATAATTCATGTCTAATCTTTTTCAAAGATATAATAACTTTATCTTTTTCCTATAAAATATCAAATAACATAGTGTCATATATATTTCAAATTTTATTCAAAAAATAAATAACAATAATCACTTTATTGCTGCACGAGGAAAATAGTCTTTTAGACCTGGAGATAATTCTCCTTTATTGTATAAAAATAAACGTTGAACTTTGGAACAATTGATTCGTATGGCATCTCTTGTGAAATTGTCTGTTACTCTTTGTAATAAATCATAATTCACATGAAGAACAATATCATTTAATAAAGACATTTTAGTATCATTCAAAAATTGTTCCAGATAATTTGCATGAATTCTACGAAGATCAAGTACAATAAGATGAGGATATTCAACAATTGACTGTTGTTGTTTATTATTCTTTTGTGGTTCCAAATTATATAAACGTAGGTCTTTGATAAATGGAAATGATTTAGCAATTTGAAGAAAAAATTCATGTTCGAAAGGACGTTCATCATATAATGATATGTGATGAACATATGTAAATAATCCACCAGGAAAATTGTTCGTTATTTTTTGATAATACATCAATGTATATGGATATGAATAAATATGACAAAGAAATCGATGTATTTTTGGAAAATAATCAATACATGAAATTATTTGATTGCTTGTTACATTTTTAAATGTATTTTGAATATCTTCATTTGATGGTAAATTAAATTGATTATTAAAACCAATATATGAAAGAATATCAAATTCAAATTTCTTTAATTTTGGCATATAATTGAAAATATTTTCTTTCAAATTAATACCATCAATAATTGGTGCAATCCCATTGACAAAATACAAACCGAGTTCTTCTAAATTTGACATTCGACGTACAAGTGGAATAAGAACAGTTTTGTAGGCCAATAATATCGATTTATGAGTTAACCGAAAGCATTTTAAATTGGAAAGATTATTCTACAAAAACAAAACGATAGTTAATCAATGTAACTATTATTGATTCATTCAAAAGATATTAATATCAATCACTTACTTTATTATTAATCAATGGTGATACAGAAACATTTCCAAAATATATGGTAACATCGAATGTATTAAGTTGATTGAAACGACCATCAAGTAAATAGAGACAATCTCCGAAAGTATCTACGATGATATGTAGATGTAATAGAGTTGATGAGAAAATATTTGGAGATGATAAATTAAATGTTAATTGATGATTATTAGGATTAGCAAATGGACTGAAATTTAAATATTGTAAATTCTTGAACATAGTCAAGATTTGTGTATATAGAAATATATTGATATCTTCAAATAAACTTGTTGTTCGTTGACCTTCATCAGTATGAATAACAAGTGATGATAATTGATATTCGAAAACACAAATAAAATAACTTCCATCTAAATAAACATTAAATATTTTTATGAAATTATTTTTTAATTAATTTTAAATAATCAATTCTCTTTTTCTTATTTATAAATCACTAATAAATCATCTTCATTTAAATTCTTTAATAAGAATATATTTTATCGTCAATGTGTTTTTTTTTTATCTTGATCATTTATTCTATATTACAAATTTTCTCCTTTAAGAATCAAAGAACTTTAATTGAAGTAATTACAAAAATAATATTTAAATTTTTTTTCAAATTCATATTCATTAATAAATATTAGAAAGAAAAGTATTTTAGCAAAACAAAATATTTTAAATTAAATTCTGATTATATAAAGATAAATTATTTTAATATTTTCATAGAATTAATCATTGAAAAAGTTAAAAGAAAATATCTTACCAGTAAAGAGATCTCTCGCTCTTTCTAATGAAAGATCGTGTAAAACCAGTGTATGTAAATTAGGATAATTTGTTGAAAGAAGAATACGATTAATAAATGATGATTCAATATTGAGCCATTCAATTTTATCATGAATTTTAGGTAAAATTTCAACACAAATTCGATCAATTATTGCATCAGTAAATTGTTTTGAAGCAATAGGTGGTTTTGTCAATGTTAAATATCTTGTAAAAATTGAATCTTGTAAAATACTATCAAGTCGTTTATTAATACCCATTAAAGAATAGAGTACATCAAAATTATTCAGTTTTTTAAAAATATAAATAAGAATTTCATCAGGTAAATAATTCAATTGAATAAATGAATCTTCCATGTTTATTTTCCTCTATGATGTGTTTTTTTTGCTTTGCTTATGCATATATATAGGCTCCAAATCGACTGAAAAAAATTCCGACGAATTAAAACTGAATTAATGAATAAATCGTCTATAAACAAAAAAGATGATTTCAGTCAGAATAGATCAATTATGTTGCTTAATTCAATTTATTTTTTCAGTCTGTTTGAGGTGATATACTCATATATTTTGGTTGATTGATATCGTCAATGAAAACATTGATTTATTTTTGTATAGTCTAAGTTGATGATGTATTAATCAAATGATATTCTTTTCTCTCTTTCTATTTAACATTATAGTTTAATATGTGCCAATAAAAAATAAAAATAATTAATAAATCTTTTTACTCTTTATAATGGAAAACTCTTGTATTTTAAATAGCAAGTAGATATTTGAAAGGAGGAAATTGAGTTATTTTCTTAAGTTGAGATTTCATCAGATGACAATTTCTGTAAAAAAAAGTCTCTAAATGATATCCATTCATTGTAAGATTATTTTATGAAAAGAACAAATTCAAAAGAATATTAATTATTTGTTAAAAGTCAATATATGAGAATAATACATAAATGTTTTGTGATTTAAATCGTAGAAATGATGAGATAATCATTTTTGTTAATAATTATGTTTTAGATGAAATCTAAGACAATGCAAATTCGAGTCGATGTTCATAGAATTATAAATTCTCAGCTTTTCATAATATAATATATTAGCAGAATCATGAAATTTACATGATCAAAAGTACAATTATTAGATGAACGAAAGACAATTCCTATCTGGAACTGTATATGAAAAATGAAAAGAAAAATAATTCTTAAGTTTTAATAGTACGAAGATTGATACAATAGAAAGACAAATAAAAAGATCCAAAAGAAATCATCTTCTTGAATTTTATTCAACTAATTACTAGAAATTTGTTTTAAGATTAAGTCAATAATAAATCATTTTGTGAATTTTTTTTCTTACATAGAGATATAGTTTAACAAGTACAGACAGAATTATTGGTATATTGTATTGGCTTTATTTGTCTATATGTATGTTTCCCAATGGGTTAAGTGCAGGTTTGGAACCTTTGACACCTCAGCACCTTTTCAGCACCTGAGCAATTTTTCGGCACCTTGAAGCAAAATCTGGTGCTCAAATGCTGCACTTACCCTCTTGATGTTTCCAAATATAATTTGTATTGATCGTTGATTAGATAAAGAAAAATGAGGATATTCTTTTCAATTCTATTCAAATAATAAGATTTGTTTCTTGTAAAATGTAATGTATATTTGTACGTCAGAGAATAACATCAGACAAAGATTTTATTTTAAGAGGATTTTGTTAGACAAACAAATTAATTTTTTTTTACCATCATTTTTTGTCAAATAAAACAAAATATTCACAGAGAAAACTATAAATGATGATGATCATAGAACTTACATTAGATTCAAGTTCAATAATATTCAATTACACAGCATTGACACCTTTAGGTTTAACACAATCAAATTCAATGAAAAAATTTATGGTGTATCGTATGTTTTTCTAATTGTTTGTTTTTCATCTATTCATTGTTCTTCTATTTCAAAATCAGAGTGATTCATATTTAATAATGTACATGAAAAATTTGATTTAATCATTAAACATTTTTAGGTATTGTTCAAATTTGTGGTGCAACAATATATCGTAAAACAGTCTCATTTTCACGTCATACAACGCATGTTGGTGCATTAGCTTGGAATGATTATTGTATATATTCAGGTTCTCATCATTGAGTTATTTTATAAAATGATATATGTTCAAGTAAATAACAAAGGAAATTAGCTGAACATAGACAAGAAGTATGTGGATTAAAGTAGTCACCTGATAGACAATTATTAGTAGGTGGAGGAAATTATAATAATTTAATTAGTATGAAATCAATCATTTTCAAATTCAATACAAATTTATACTGATCATACAACAGCTGTCAAACCAATTGCATGAACTCCTCATCAACAAGGTTTATTAGCAAATGGTGGTGGAACAACTGATCGATATATTCGATTTTGGAATATATTAATTGCACAAAGTTTACAATGTATTGATACTGGTTCTCAAGTAAATTTTACCGAAATAAACTTTTCTCTTTATATATATATCATTTTAGATATGTAATTTAGCTTGGTCTAAACATTCAAATGAACTTGTTCCAACACATGGATAGTCACAAAATCAAATCACTCTTTGAAAATATCCATCAATCTTACAATTAGCTCGTTTAACAGAACATACAGTCGGGGACAAAAGTTTAAGCGAAATCAATTAATATTTATCTAATTCTCAGTGTATTTCTTTTCTCTCAATATCAATGTCATGATACTTGAAAGATTACATACTACATTTTAATCAATGATAATCGCCACCAGAATCATCTATTAAGAAAAAATAAGATAAATATTTCATTAATAAGATTATATAAACACCTATCATCTGGATAATCTTGACCTTTATTCGATGACATTTATTGCAAAATACGTAGTTATTATTTTTTCTAAAAATAGATGAAAAAATTTGTATTTTAGAAAAGATATATTTGTCTTATCTCTCAAATGAAAAGAATCGAAATGTATAGAGGTTCGTCTATCGACTGAAATGAACGATTACTTATCTATCTCCTTTGACTGGACAACATTTTATTTTTCAGTCCATCTTCAGGGGTGAAAAAAAGTGCTCAATAATTAGCTTTAAACATAGCATTAAATGTAAAGACAAGCAAGTATTTATTGATATTGCATATGATATTTGTCTATGATTACAAACAAATTTTTTTATTGGTTATTGGATCAAGATTTACTGTTGACAATTCTATGAATCTTTTTAATCAAACATGGTTGGTTTGATATTTTATTTTTTGATTTTATTTTCTGATCAATACGAAAATCTTTCTTTTGATTATAGAAAACGACAAGAGAAATCTGATGCTGTTTCAGAATGATTGAAGATTCAAAACAATTTCATATTAGAATGAACTTAATATGAACATGAAATTCCACCTGCCGTCATTTTTCTCCACTGATGCACATCAAATCAATTCAATACACAAGAAAATAAATTATGTCAAACTCGGCATCTCACCACTATTTACTTCGAAAAATGAACTCATCTTATAGCTTAAGTTGCTTCCGCAAATACTGTATTTTGTTTATATTTTTTTGTATTAAATCAAAACTGTAGTTTTGATTTTTCTCATACTTTTTTTCTGTTAAACACTAAAATAAACTAGCACCTTAATATAAATAGAAGACCATATGAATAACTTCAAATAAATTCAATTAACTTCTATTCTACTAAGAACATTCGAAAACGTGAACGACAACGTTTTTATTAGTCAGAAACATTCTTCTAGCTTACTTTTCAAAGTGTCATCGGATAAACTTTCGCACGAAGTTCAACCTTTTTCCGGCAACCAGTATTCGACAAAAAAACAAAATATGCTCGAGATAGAATATTTGAAAAAGGTTTTCAAAGTTGATCATCTCACGTTATTCTATTAGACGATAAAAAATAGATTGAATCAATTTTCTCAGTGAAATAGTAAATAAAATAAATCGATATAAGGAAAGAAAACATGAGAACTAATATATTATATTGACAAATAGAAAATATTAACTCTCCGTTTCAATAACGGTCTTTTAATCATCGACTGGTTAAATAAATATAGTCTTGACTAGGAATCAAGCCAATTTATTCTACTCTAATAGAAATTCTTTCAATAGTCAAATATATCGTAAAAGATTTTCTCAAAAAGAAGATTTTATTTCTTAGATTTTTCTCGTTCCCTATCATTCACCTTTTATTTGAAAACAATTCTATAATTAAGATCTTTTTCGATGATTTATATCTTTCGTAATCGTCTTTATTTAATCTCTTTAGTAGAAATCTAAATTGTCGAATTATTGATCGATCAGCTTACCAAATAAAATAATATTTTCAAAGGTGCACAATTCATTGAAGTAAGTCGAATATTGAACTATTTTTACTGGTCACATATTTGGAAAATTGTTCGTTAATTATTGAGAATAGGGTGTGGGTGTAGGTGGGTGTCATGGAAGAAGAGACCCACACCCTTGAGATGATTAACACCAATAACTATTAATCGAAATAGTAATAATTCTAGTGTACAATCAAATCAAAGAGTAACACCCGAAATTGAAACAAAAACCAAATGAAATTCCTAATCGTTTACAACAATAACAAGCTGATGCAAGATTTTTAGTAAAATAAATCTTTTTCTAAAATTTTGTTAAAAATTAATTTATCAATTAAACAATTAAATATGTATTACGACGAGAAGATTATATGAATAAACATTTTCCAAAATAGTTATTTTAAACGACTAATTATTAACAATAAAATTTTATTTAATAATTAAAATCAATAAAAATATTGTTTTTAATTCGTAGAACCTATCGAACAATATCCAATTAAAATATCTAAATCATCAATTTATTGATCAGATTATGCTCTTATTAAATAAGATAACAATAACTTTATTTATTTATTTTTTAATGAAAAACTAAATCAAATCATATAGATGAATATGATGGTAAAAGCACACACAAAAAAAGCATCACACCGATATACTACTTTGACAAAAATTTGCTTTACCAATAAGACAATTAATGATAATACTTTTACGTTGTTTTTGATTGATATTATTCGCTTGTTTAAAAATATCTGCCATTTCATTTTCATTTGTTCGATCGAGACGAAAGTCAATACCACCCGAAAGATTCAACTATTTTATCATTTTTTCAATACTATTTAAAAGATAAAAAAATAGAGTATTCTTTATTCCCTCTACTGAAAGGAGGGTAATGCGCTGAGCAACTACAACGACCAAATGTTCGTTCGTGTGTTCGTTCGTATGTTCGTCGTACAGAACGAAAAGAATGTTTTTTTGACCCATCATAATATCACTTCTTCTAAATCTAGCAACTATCATCAATGATATTGCGGGTTCGTCTCGCAACCAATGAGATTTCGAGTATTGAAAATCAAGCCAATGAGATGTTTTCTGGGCTCGTCTTTCAACCAATGAGATTTCGAGGGTTGAAAATCAAGCCAATAAGATGTTTTTTGGGCTTGTCTCTCAACCAATGAGACTTCGAGAGTTGAAAATCAAGCCAATCATATGTTTTCTAGGCTCGCCTCTCAACCAATGAGATTTCGAGGGTTGAGAATCAAGCCAATGAGATGTTTTTTGGGCTTGTCTCTCAACCAATGAGATTTCGAGGGTTGAAAATCAAGCCAATCATATGTTTTCTAAGCTCGCCTCTCAACCAATGAGATTTCGAGGGTTGAAAATCAA